AAAAAAAAAAAAAAAAAAAAAATCGAGTTCATCATCTATTGTTAGGCAAGAAGAATTTTGCTATTACTGTTTACCACAAACCTTTTGTTTGAACTAGGATTTTTAGGTTTAACCTAATTTAAAACAAAAACAGATGCTGGGCGTGGTGGCTCATGCCTGTAATCCCAGCACTTTGGGAGGCCGAGGCAGGAGAATCACAAGGTCAGGAAATCGAGACCATCCTGGCTAACAGTGAAACCCTGTCTCTAATAAAAATACAAAAATAATTAACCGGGCGTGGTGGCAGGCACCTGTAGTCCCAGCTACTTGGGAGGCTGAGGCAGGAGAATGGTGTGAACTCAGGAGGCAGAGCTTGCAGTGAGCTGAGATCGCACCACTACACTCCAGCCTGGGTGACAGAGCGAGGCTCCATCTCTAAATAAATAAATAAATAAATAAATAAATAAAACAAAAACAGAAAAAAGAACAAGCTCTATGGTGTAGCAGACAGGCATAGGGTTTTGCCTTCATATTTTCTGGACTGGAGTAAATGTAGAACAGGCAAGCATACCTCTTAAATTAAATAAAATCATTCCTAGTTTTTCTTTTTTGTATTATTTGACCCAGACTGGAGTGTGGTGGTGCAATCCCAGATCACTGCAACCTTCGCCTCCCGGGCTCAAGCGATTCTCGTGCCTCAGCCTGCCGATAGCTGAGACTGCAAGTGCTTGCCACCACGCCCGGCTAATTTTTGTATTTTTTATAGATATGGGTTCCACTATGTTGCCCAGGCTGGTCTCAAAGTCCTGGACCAGGTAATCTGCCCACCTCAGCCTCCCAAAGTGCTGGGATTACAGGTATAAGCCACCGCGCCCAGCCCTATTTGTGACTTTCGTATGTTGTATTTAAATATTAATAAAATCATATTTGATACTAACTTTGTTTTTACCTCATACATAGCAAAGATAAATAATGGTTTATAAAATTTTCATATATTCAAACACAAAAGCGTTATACTGAGTCACAGTGTAAAAGGTATTTCTTATTGTGGGTCTTTGTAAATAAAAATTTAAAAAATACTTGTAAACATTCTCCAGGGCTTTTTGTTCTGTTTTTTGTTTTTTTGAGACAAGGCCTCACTCTGTCACCCAGGCTTGGATGCAGTGGGGCCATCACAGCTCTCTGCAGCCTCGACCTCCTGGGCTCAGGCAGTCCTCCCTCCTCAGCCTCCCAAGTAGCTGGGACTATGGGCATGTGCCACCACACCCAGCTAATTTTTGTATTTTTTGTGGAGACAGGGTCTTCCCATTTTCCCCAGGCTGGCCTCCTCCTGAGCTTAGGCAATCCTCCCCCTTCAGCCTCCGAAAGTGCTGGAATTACAGGCGTGAGCCACCGCACCGGCCATTCTGCAGCTCTGTGATTTCTACTTTGGTTCAAGAGTTGCTTAAGAGAATTTTTAGTTTCCATGTCATTTGTGTTTCTACTTTTGTTATTCGTATTTTACTTTATGGCATTATAGTCAAAGACAATAGTCTAGGTTATTGTGTATTATTTCTTTTTATTGGAAGATAGGTATATTTTTTGTTAGTATGTGTATATGTCTCTATATGTGTTAGCTCAGCTTTATTAATTTTATTACGTAGCGCATTTATATATTTATTAAACTTTTTAGTTGGAAATAATTTCAGACTGACTTGCAAAAATAGTACAAAGAGTCTGGGCACAGTGGCTTACACCTGTCATGCTAGCACTTTGGGAGGCCGAAGTGGGCAGATTGCCTGAGCTCAGGAGTTCAAGACCAGCCTGGGCAACATGATGAGATCCCATCTCTGCTAAATATACAAAACATTAGCCGGGCGTGGTGGTTCACACCTGTAATCCTAGCTGCTCCCGAGGCTGAGGCACAAGAATCGCTTGAACCCGGGAGGTGGAGGTTGCAGTGAGCCCAGATCATGCCACTGTTGCACTACAGCCTGGTGACAAAGGGATCTGTCTCCAAAAAAAAAAAGTACGAAGAATTGGTGAATTCTTCCAAATTTGGCAAGCGTTAATGTTTTACTACGTTTACTTTATGATTCATTCTCATTATCTCTCTCCTTTTCTGTCAGCCACTCAAGTATTTTCAGCAGTTGAAGTGGAGAATACTCCTTGGTTCAAAAGACACCATATATTCATCTCATTCTCCAGACTCAGGATCCTGGCTGGGCACAGTGGCTCACGCCTGTCATCTCAACACTTTGGGAGGTCCAGGCAGGCAGATCACTTGAGGTCAGGAGTTCAAGACAAACCTGGCCAAAATGGCGAAACCCCGCCTGTACTGAAAAAACAAAAATTAGCTGAGCGTGGTGGTGCGTGCCTGTAATCCCCACTGCTCGGGAGGCTGAGGCAGGAGAATCGCTTGAACCCAGGAGACAGAGTTGGCAGTGAGCTGAGATTGTGCCACTGCACTCCAGCCTGGGTGACAGAGCGAAACTCTGTCTCAAAAAAAAAAAAGATATTCATGATGTATGATCCAAGGGATGGTTCATTGGCCAATAATTATGAGATAAAGAATAAAAAATTAGCATTCAGTCCTCTAAATAGAAATTCTAGCCAGGCATGGGGGCTCACACCTGTATTCCCAGCACTTTGGGAGGCTGAGGCAGGTGGACCATTTGAGGTCAGGAGTTCGAGACCAGCCTGGCCAACATGGCGAAATGCTTTCTCTACTAAAAATACAAAGATTAGCTGGGCATGGTGATGGACGCCTGTAATCCCACCTACTCAGGAGGCTGAGGCAGGAGAATCACTTGAACCGGAGAGGTGGAGGTTGCAGTGAGCCGAGATCATGACGCTGCACTCCAGCCTGGGTGACAGTGAGACTCCATCTCAAAAAAAAAAAAGAGAAAAAGAAATTCTGCTGATCATTTGAGCCTAGGAGTTCAAGACCAGCCTGGGCAACATGGCAAAACCCCACCTCTACAAAAAGTACAAACATTAGGCAGGCCTGGTGGCACACATCCTCCCAATTAGTGTAGCTACTCAGGAGGCTGAGGGGGGAGAATCTGAGCCTGGAAAGTCGAGACTGCAGTGAGTGGAGATGGCACCACTGTACTCCAGCCTGGGTGACAGAGTGAGACCCTATCTCAAAAAAATTCTGGTCCCTGTGTCTCTGAGACTATGAAATTTCTTTCCTCTAATTACATTGCACAATATACACATCCTCATGTGTGCGAAATGTTTTGCAGGCCCGCTTTCTTGTTTTGAAGGCGATGGTTTGGCGCTTTCCTTGAAATAACGCATTTCTGCTGCTTTTGTTTCCTCCTGTCTTCACGCAGACCTGAGGATGAACTGTTTCTAAAAAGACTTTCTAAAGGTTACTTGGTGGGAAAGGACTCGGACGCTCCCCTTTTCTACAGAGAACAAGGAAACAAAAAATTTCAGGAGAAAGATTACACAGGAGCTGCAGTGCTGTATTCTAAGGTAAAACACTCCCAGCTCAAGCAATTTATTTGTTTATTTTTCTTAGAGTCAGAGTCTTGCTCTCTTGCCCAGGCTGGAGTGCAGCGGTGCGATCTCAGCTCACTGCAACCGTCACCTCTGGGATTCAAGCAATCCTCCCACCTCATTCTCCCGAGAAGCTGGGATTACAGGCGTGCGCCACCATGCCTGGCTAATTTTTGTATTTTTAGTAAAGACGGGTTTTCGCCATGTTGGCCAGGCTGGTCTCAAACTCCTGACCTCAGGTGTTCCGCCTGCCTCAGCCTCCCAAAGTGCTGGGATTGCAGGCATGAGCCACCATGCCTGGCCCAGCTCAACAATTTAACAATGCATATTTCTTCAGGAGGTAGAGCCGTATTGCTAAATTTCATAGCCAGTGTTACCTTTATCTATAATGTATTGAATGGATTTTAAAAAGAAACCTGACAGAATTCTGCTGTGGTTATAGTCTAAAACAAAAGGTAGTTTATAGGCCCAGTGCAGTGGTTCACACCTGTAATCCCAGCACTTTGGGAGGCTGAGTCGGGAGGATCACTTGAGACCAGGAGTTCAAGACCAGCCTGGACAATATAGGGAGACCCCTTCTCCACACACAAAAAAATTTTTAAATTAGCCGACTGGTGGTGGCATGCATCTGTGGTCCTGAAACGGGAAAGGTTCCCTTGTTCCCCTCACAGGGCGTGCAGTGGAAGTGTGGCTCGCTTCTTCAGTGACCTGCTGCTCAAACCTCTAGGGGAGCATATAGACGGGTAGGCTGTGGGGCTCTGACCCGAGGGCAGTGTCTAGGGTTGAATGTTTACAGTTGAAGCCACAGTGGGCGTGTGTTCCATGGTGCTACTTTAGTTTGCTGTCTCTAGGCGGCTTGTGTTGACCAGCTCAGTTAGACTCGCCACCTTGTCGCAAGGATAGAGGGCTTCCTGTATCCCGGGTTCTTGCCTTGGTGTACTGGAAGAATCACATCACACGTGGGCTTGGAGAATGAGTGCAGGGTTTTACTGAGTAGAAGTAGCTCGCAGCAGGTTGGGGAGCCAGAAGGGAGATGGTTTTCCCCTGGAGTCCGGCCACTCAGCGACCCAACTCTTCTCCAACTGCTGTGGCCAAACGCTGTGTCGTTCTGCCACCGGTCGGTGGCATGCTGATGCCTGTCGGCTGCTCTTCTGCCGGCTGCTCTTCTGCCGGCATACTCCTGACAACGTCCAGCTGCTTATGTGTCTGCCTGCTGGGGTCTTAGGTTTTTATAGGCCCAGGCTGGGGGCGTGGCAGACCAGGGTGGTCTTGGAAAATGCAACATTCGGGCGCGAAGGCAGGAGTGCCTGTCCTCACCTAGGTCAGTGGGCACAGCCCGAGGGTGAAGCCCTAGCCAGGGACCCGCCTTTATGCAGCGTTCCCTGCCCACCTACCATATCAGTGTCAGCTACTCAGGAGGCTGAGGCAGGAGGGTCACTGAGACCAGGAGTTCCAGGCTTCAGTGAGCTGTGATTGTGCCACTGCACTAGCCTGGGTGACAGAGTGAGACCCTGCCTCAGAAAAAAAAAAAAGTAATTTATGTGTTCTGAATTTATTCAAGAAACTTCTGTGTCCATATTCCTTCCGATACCTTGTAGCGGTAAGCTTACTGGCCCGTCGCGTGCCTTGCCCACGTCTGTCAGCCGCTGTTGAACTGCATGCCACTTTTGTCTGAATGTGTGATGAGACTTAGCTTGATGGAATCAGTCATCTGTTACTCTTGGCCGGGCACAGTGGCTCACACCTGTAATCCCAGCCCTTCGGGAGGCTGAGGCAAGAGGATTGCTTAAGCCCAGGAGTTCAAGACCAGCCTGGGCAACATAGCAAGACCCCATCTATACCATAATGTATAAATGACTCTTGTTGTCCTGCTTTCATAGTAAGAACTGGAACAAGATCCCTTGAGCAACTTCCTTCCATAGCTTTTAAGAGACTTACATGGGCTTAAAGCAGGAACATATCAATCTCTTACACCAGTTCTGTGACCTTGGATATTAAAAGAGTAAGTTTAAATTTGAAGGGTAGGCTGGGCACAGTGGCTCACTCATGTAATTCCAACACTTTAGGAGACCCAGGCGGGAGGATCGCCTGCGCCCAGGAGTTCAAGGCAGGCCTAGGTAACACAGCGAGGCCCTGTCTCTGTTCAGAACAAACAATTTTTTTCATTTGAAGGGTGTGGATCCTACTCTGAATCTTTAACAGGTTTATGCTTGAACGTGCTTGCAGTTTGGGATTAATTTTCCAAAAACGATCACACCTATAACAGCAGCTTCTACAGCTGATAAAATCCCTGCTTTGTAGTGTTATAATAAAGTATTTAGCTAAATAATGTAAGCTTTAGTGATTGCTGAGGGATTACAGTCCGTTAGGTGTAATGATCCAGTGATAAATGGCTTAATAGTTCTTTTTTCAGAGCTAATCTCTTCAACTTTATGTATGTGCATCATAAATGCGATCACATGGGAAGTTCTTCAAGGAAAACAGGGAAAATAAAAACTGAAGCCAGAGAAAAAATTAAGGCTTGCTCTGACTGCGGAGGGAGATGAGCCTGCCTATTTCATGAAGCCAGTATGTCGGTGATTACGGTGCTCTGCAATTTTCTAGAAAGCTGCTATTCTCTTTGTAAAAATATTTGTTGTTTTTATCTGATTGTAAAAGTAATATATGTTTACTTCGAAAAGTACAGAGAAGCACAAAGAGGAAAAAAAACCTCATAACCCGTGATAGGCACTGTTAACGTTTTTGCTTACATCCATCCAGCCAGACTTTTTCCTCCAAAAATATGTTTTTACAAAATTGGGATAATGCTGCCCCTTCTGTTTTGTGACCTGCCTTTTTCCCTCGACAATTGATTGTGCCCATTTTCTCATGTTATTAAATTTTCCACTGGAACATGATGCTTTACGGCTGGCTTAGTGTTCCATGACGGAGAAAAAGCCGTACTTGATTTCACATCTCCTAATGTTGGCAAATTGTTCGGGATCATAACACTGCAATGAGCATCTTTCTATGTAAATATTTGCATATATCTGATTGCTTGCTTAGGGTAAATTCCTAGAAGGGTAATTGCTGGGGCAGAAGGAATGTATTTTTTCAGGCCTTTGGTACTTGATGCTGAATTGTTCTCCAGGAAAGAACTAGTTAACATCCCTGCTGGCGGAGTACAGGAATGTTCATTTCTCCAGATCCCGAGCAGTACTGGTTGTGATGATTACAGTTTTATTATTGTATCGGTTTATTTGTGAGTAGAGAATCTGTTCACGTAGAATTTAAAAGTGCAAGAGTGTACAGTGTCGTCTGCCTCTCCTGTCCCCTGACCACGTGATTTTCTGTTCCCATAAACTAGCACCGTTGAGTATATTTCCAGAGTGTACTCCAGACGTGTGTAAATACAGCCTTCCACTCCCGCACACACACCGTGTTTTTACATCCGTAACATTCTGCACATATTGTTCAGCATCATGCCTTGTCCACTTAACAGTAATAGTTTAAAGATCATTCCATTTCAGTACATAAAGAGCATCCTCAGGCCGGGTGCGGTGGTTCACACCCGTAATCCTAGCACTTTGGGAGGCCGAGGCAGATGGATCACCTGAGGTCAGGAGTTCAAGACCAGCCTGGCCCACAGGGCGAAACCCTGTCTCTACTAAAAATACAAAAATTAGCTGGGCGTGGTGGGGCATGCGCCTATAATCCCAGCTACTTGGGAGGCTGAGAGAGGAGAATTGCTTGAACCCCAGTGCGGGGGGTGGGGTGGGGGGGTGTGCAGAAGTTTTAGTGAGCCAAGAACATGCCACTTGACTGTAGCCTGGGCGAAAGAGCAGAACTGTGTCTCAAAAAAAAAGAGCGTCCTCATTCTTTATTATGGCTACATGGTGTTCCATTAAATGGGTGTATCAATTTATGTAACCAGTATCCTGTGGATCAATGCTTGTTTCCTATCTTTTGCTATTTCAAACAATTCTGTGATGAGAAACTTTGCACAGGGCCAGGCACGGTGGCTCACACCTGTAATCCCAGCACTTTGGGAGACCGAGACAGGTGGATCCCCTAAGGTCAGGAGTTCAAGACCAGCCTGGCCAACGTGGTGAAACCCCATCTCTACTAAAAATACAAAAATAAGCTGGGCATGGTGGCATGTGCCTGTAACCCTAGCTACTTGGGAGGCTGAGGCAGGAGAATCACTTGAACGCAGGAGGCGGAGGCTGCAGCGAGCTGAGATCGCCCCACTGCACTCCAGCCTGGACAACAAAGAGACACTCTGCCTCAGAAAAAGAAAAAAAACCCTTGCATGAATGTCATTTTTCATATATAACTGTATGATAAATGATTGTATCTGTAGGATTAATTCCTAGAAGAGGAATTGCTGGGTCAATGGATATTTTATATGTATATAAGGTATACATACATATAGAATTTTGACATATATTGCTAAATTACCCTCGGTAATTATGAAACCAGTGTACACCCCCACTAACCGCATAATGAGAATGTCCGTTATCCCACTCCTTGACCAGCTCTGTGTGCCATCAATTTTATTTTGCTTTGCCTGATAGGTAAAAAATGGCCTTTCTGTACAGTTTTAATTTGCATTTTATTGATTGTATGAGGCTGAGCATTTTTTTCCACATATTTAAGAGCCATTTTTATTTCCTGTGAGAACTGTCCATATCGTTGCCCATTTTCCTGTTGATTTATTGGTTGTCATCTTAGTGATCTGTAGGAAATCTTGACAAAGTAAAGAAATCAGCTCTTTGCCTATAATATGAATTGCAGATTTTTTTCCAGTTCAGTGTTTGCCTTTTGCTTGTGTTTGTTTTTGGTGTGAAGATATTGTTTATTTTCAGGCGGTCAAGTTTATTCACCTTTTATGGCCTCTGGGTTTTGTGTCATAGTCAGGGATTCTTCCAGCATTACTTTGCATGCTTTCTATAGTTCTTTCAGTGCTCCTGTTGCTTTGTTTTTACATTAAGAATTTGATGTATTTGGAATTTATCCAATGAAAGATTTATCACTTTATTTTGCTCATCGTCTACCTACTTATCCATATATATATGTTTATTTTATTATTATTATTTTTTGAGACAGAGGCTGGAGTGCAGTGGTATGATCTCAGCTCCCCACAACCTCTACCTCCTGAATCCAAGCAATTCTCCTGCCTCACCCACCCGCGTAACTGGGATTACAGGCGTGCGCCACCACGCCCGGCTAATTTTTGTATTTTTCTTAGTAGAGATGGGTTTTTGTCATGTTGGTCAGGGTGGTCTCGAACTCCTGGCCTCAAGTGATCCACCTGCCTCGACCTCCCAAAGTGCTGGGGTTGCAGGCCTGAGCCACCACATCGAGTCTTATCCCAGTACTTTTATTGAATACTCACCATCTTTCCTACCTTTACTTGAGTACCATATTTATGGTTATTATTAATCCTTGCCAATTTGATGATAGAAAAAAGTACTCTTTTTTGTTTATTTGTCTGTTTGTGACCATCTCACTCTGTCACTCAGGCACTATCTCAGCTCACTGCAACCTCCGCCTCCCAGGTTCAAGCCATTCTCATGCCTCAGCCTCCCAAGTAGCTGGGATTTCAGGCACACATTACCATGCCCTGCTATTTTTTTATATTTTTAGTAGAGACGGGATTTTGTCATGTTGGTCAGGCTGGTCTCGAGCTCCTGGCCTCAAATGATTCACCTGCCTCAGCCTGGAATTACAGATATGAGCCAGCACGCCCATCCTAGTATCCCTTTTTTTGCATTCATTTTGATCTATTTGGCTATCCGTATGTGAATTAATCATCTGTTTTCTGTAACTATTTATGTTTCTCCTTGTGTGAATTTCTATGTGTGCCACCCACCCTTTGTTCTATTCAGGAAATGGGATATTATGCTTGCAGGTATTTCCCTCAGTTTCTTATTCACCTTCAGTGTTGTTTGTGGTTGAAGCTGTATCTGACAAAGTGCTTTTAATAGTGATGTCCTCACTTGCTCTTCACAGCTTTGCTCTCAGGTAGTTAGAACGTAAGCTGAAGCACAACGAGGTTCAGTAACTTTCCCAGTTTCACAGTCTTTAGTACTGGAGCCCGTAATACCTGAAAAATGTACTTTAGAGTTGCTAGTTTCCATTTATACCTCTAACCAGTTCATTGCTTTGCAGGGTGTGTCACATTCAAGGCCTAACACCGAGGACATGTCGCTGTGCTATGCTAACCGTTCGGCAGCCCTCTTCCACCTGGGTCAGTACGAGGTGAGTATCAGATACCTAGTGTGCGTGCAGAGGGTCCGGGGGGCCTTCACTGGAGGACTAGACCTTCGTCTCTGCTTCTTCCATGGAGCTCTCAAATCAGGTCATGCTGCTATTGGTTGAATCGGAAGCACATTAGCATCTACCTAAAGTTGGGCTGGGCGCTCACGCCTGTAATCTCAGCACTTTGGGAGGTTGAGGCAGGCGGATCACTTGAGGTCAAGAATTCAACACCAGCCTGGCCAACACGGTGAAACCCCATCTCTACTAAAAATACAGGGATAAAAATTAGCCGAGTGTAGTGTACTCCCAGCGACTAAGGAGGCTGAGGCAGGAGAATCGCTCAGGAGGTGGAGGTTGCAGTGAGCCAAGATCACACCACTGCACTCCAGCCTGGGTGACTCTATCTCAAAAAAATGTACTAGGCCAGACATGGTGGCTCACACCTGTGATCCCAGCACTTTGGGAGGCCAAGGCAGGCGGATCACGAGGTCTGGAGTTCGAGACCATCCTGGCCAACATGGTGAAACCCCATCTCTACTAAAAATACAAAAATGAACTGGGCATGGTAGCAGGCACCTGTAGTCCCAGCTACTTGGGAGGCTGAGGCAGGAGTATTGCTTGAACCTGGGAGGTGGAGGTTGCAGTGAGCCCAGATCGCACCACTGCACTCCAGCCTGGGTGACGGAGCGAGACTCCGTCTCAAAAAATATATATAAATAACTAAACTTGTTCTTTCTCCTCAGTCATTTCACTGATGACAGGTGACCATATGGGATAGTGTTGATTGACAAGAAAGAGCTATGGGGCCAGGCGCGGTGGCTCACGCCTGTAATCCCAGCACTTTGGGAGGCCGAGGCAGGCAGATCACTTGAGGTCAGGAGTTTGAAACCAGCCTGGCCAACATGGTGAAACCCCATCTCTACTAAAAATACAAAAATTAGCTGGGCAGGTGGCGGGCATCTGTAATCTCAGCTACTCGGGAGGCTGAGGCAGGAGAATACCTTGAACCTGGGAGGCAGATGTTGCAGTGAGTCAGTGAGCTGAGATCGTGCCACTGCACTCCAGCTTGGATGAGAGAGGGCTCTGTCTCAAAAGAAAAAGGAAAGAAAGAGCGATGGGACATTCCCTGGGGATGTGGACTGTATCCAACAGGTCAGCAGTGCTCAGTGTCAGGATTAGCTGAGTGACATATTGCTGCTAATGCTTCAGGTTCCAAGTGTTTGCAAAGTATACTGTTTGCTTCTTTTTTTTTTTTGAGTCAGAGTCTTGCTCTGTCACTCAGTCTGGAGTGCAGTTACACGATCTCGGCTCACTGCAAACTCCGCCTCCCAGGTCCACACCATTCTCCTGCCTCAGCCTCACAAGTAGCTGGGACTACAGGCACCCGCCACCATGCCTGGCTAAGTTTTGTATTTTTAGTAGAGATAGCACTTCACCACGTTGTTCAGGCTGGTCTCAATCTCCTGACCTCGTGATCCTCCCGCCTCAGCCTTCCAAAGTGCTGGGATTACAGGCGTGAGCCAGGCATCCAGCCGTGTCAGTGGAGTTTTTAAAACAGGAAGTGACCAAAATCAAATTAATGTTTTAGGAGGATATCTCTGAGGCATCTGGAATTTGTATTAGAGAAGTCTAAGGACAAGCTCTAAAATGCCATTTTGATACATCTGTTTCAGAATTCTACAAAAATTCAAATTATACCCTAGAGTTGAGAACTATTAGAATAGTAAGAAGTCCACACTTACCTGCCCTTCAGACTAAAAGAGAAAAGCAGGAATCTAACTCTAGACTGTAAGCAAGAAAGTCCTAGACTACTGAGGCCAATGATTAGGAAGAAGAACTTCCTGTAATCCCAGCACTTTGGGAGGCCGAGACGGGCGGATCACGAGGTCAGGAGATCGAGACCATCCTGGCTAACACAGTGAAACCCCGTCTCTACTAAAATACAAAAAAAAAATTAGCCGGGCGAGGTGGCGGGCGCCTGTACTCCCAGCTACTTGGGAGGCTGAGGCAGGAGAATGGCGTGAACCCGGGAGGCGGGGCTTGCAGTGAGCTGAGATCCGGCCACTGCACTCCAGCCTGGGCGACAGAGCGAGACTCCGTCTCAAAAAAAAAAAAAAAAAAAAAAAAGAACTTCCAGTACATTTAACCCTTTATAACTTTTCTTGTTTGTTTTTTTTGTTTGTTTGTTTTTTTGAGACGGAGTCTCACTCAGTCGCCCAGGCTGGAGTGCAGTGGCCAGATCTCAGCTCACTGCAAGCTCCACCTCCTGGGTTCACGCCATTCTCCTGCCTCAGCCTCCCGAGTAGCTGGGACTACAGGCGCCCGCCACCTCGCCCGGCTAGTTTTCTGTATTTTTTAGTAGAAACGGGGTTTCACTGTGTTAGCCAGGATGGTCTTGATCTCGTGACCTCGTGTTCCGCCCATCTCGGCCTCCCAAAGTGCTGGGACTACAGGCTTGAGCCACCATGCCCGGCCCATACTATAATTCTTCTATCCAGAAGACTTTTTTTCCTTAAAAAATAGAAATATTTAATCCAAGAACATTAAGCATACCAGTATCCTCAACAAGTATTGCTAATCACTGAAAGGATCACTCAAAACTATATGATTTAAAATAAGCGTGTGGTTGTAATTGTTCCATTTTTAGTAATCCTTAACTTTCCTATAGATTTTTGGAAATACTTTCAGTAAACGTTGAAGACTAGGGACCAAGGGTCATTGTGGGATTTTCTTTCTGTTTTCAGACGTGCCTTAAAGACATTAGCAGAGCACAGACGCATGGCTATCCAGAAAGGCTGCAGCCCAAGATCATGTTACGGAAAGCAGAATGTCTGGTGGCCCTGGGGAGACTGCAGGAGGCGAGCCAGACCGTCGGTGATCTTGAAAGGAACTTCACGGCCACACCAACCCTAGCAGATGTCCCCCGTCAGACTCTGCAGAGAAACCTCCATCATCTGAAAACGAAGCTACAGGAAAAGGAGAGTCCCACAGAAACCTTCCCAGCAACTCTGGCCAAAACCCTCGAGGATGTGGCGCTCAGGGGAGAGAATGAACGACTTTCCAACGCCTCATCATCCGTCGGCTTGTGCATAGATCCTTTAAAAGGTCGCTATCTCGTTGCCACGGAAGATATTCTCCCAGGAGAGCTCCTGGTGAAGGAGGATGCTTTTGTGAGTGTTCTCAACCCCGGAGAACTGCCACCACCGCATCACGGCCTAGACAGCCAGTGGGACACCAGCGTCACCAATGGGGACCTCTATTGTCACCGATGTTTGAAGCACACTTTGGCCACAGTTCCGTGTGACGGATGCAGTTATGCCAAGTATTGCAGCCAGGAGTGTTTGCAGCAGGCCTGGGAGCTCTACCACAGGACAGAATGTCCTCTGGGGGGGCTGCTTCTCACACTGGGTGTCTTTTGCCACATTGCTCTGAGGTTGACTCTTGTGGTGGGAGTTGAGGATGTTCGCAAAATCGTAAAGAAGCTTTGTGTTAAGATTAGTAACAAGGACATCTGCTTACCAGAAAGCGACAATCAGGTCAAGACACTTAATTATGGCCGAGGAGAGAGTGAGAAAAATGGCAATATGGTTGAGACCCCGATTCCTGGATGCGATGCTAATGGGAAGTATGACAGTAATTATGATGCTGTCTTCAACCTTTTGCCCCATACTGAAAACCACAGCCCAGAGCACAAATTCCTCTGTGCTCTCTGTGTTTCTGTACTGTGCAGGCAGCTAGAAGCAGCCGGTTTACAGGCCATCCCAACAGGTGTGAACTCCTCTCAGCTCACAGCAGCAGTGACACCTGAGTTGTGTCCCGACGTGACTATATGGGGAGTGGCAATGCTGAGACACATGTTACAGCTGCAGTGTAATGCTCAGGCAATAACCACCATACAACACACAGGTAAGAGGGAGACTGACGCTCAGGCGATGACCACCGTGCAACACACAGGTAAGTGGGCAGATCACAAGGTCCAGAGATCAAGACCATCCTGGCCAACATGGTGAAACCCCGTCTCTACTAAAAATAAAATTTAAAAAAATTAGCTGGGCATGGTGGGGCACACCTGTAGTCCCAGCTACTCGGGAGGCTGAGACAGGAGAATCACCTGAACCCGGGAGGCAGAGGTTGCAGTGAGCCGAGATCGTGCCGCTGCACTCCAGCCTGGCGACAGAGCGAGACTCCGTCTCAAAAAAAAAAAAAAAAAAAAAAAAAAAATTATTTGATCCCGTTCTGCCCCAGTGTCTCATATGTAAAATGGGTAGTTTTATACCAGCTAACTTTACAGAGTTGTGTAAAGCTATGTTTGTAAAATTCTTTTTAAATTCTTTAAAAAGTTTATATTGCTGACAAAATTTTTTTTTTTTTTTTGACAGAATCTTGCTGTCTCCCAGGCTGTAGTGCAGGGGTGCAATCTTGGCTCACTGCAACCTCCACCTCCCAGGTTCAAATGATTCTTATGCCTCAGCCTCCCAAGTAACTGAGATTACAGGCAT